GCCGCCAAGTGCGGGGCCGAGGTGACGCTGTCGGACAGCGAGGAGCTGCCCCGCTGCCTGCGGAACTGCCGCCGGAGCTGCGGGGCCCACGGGCTGCCCGGGCCGCCCGGCCTGGGGCGCACCTGGGGCCGGCTCGGCCCAGCCCTGCTCGCCCTGCCTGCCGTCGACATCATCTTGGGATCGGATGTCTTCTTTGACCCAAAAGGTACTGTAGGACTCTGGAAATCTTGGTGACAAACGGCAAGGGCTTCGTGCCCCAGGAGTTCCCCTGGGAACACTGCCACTGGATACAGTGCCAGGGAGCCTGGTACTGGGATAATTCTGGCCCAAGTACCCCTGGAGGGTGGGTGATTAGAAAAAGGGGTAATTAACTAACTGCTTACTTAAAGCCACACTTCTCAGGTCTCATACAGATAAGCCTTTTATTTATTTTTCATTACCATTTCATATAACCAGGCATACTTAACCATCTCTAGAATCCAGACACTAACCAAGACTGCTTGATCTCCCCACACTGCACAGACTTTGAAGATATTTTAGCCACAGTTTACTTCTTGCTGGAAAAGAATCCACATGCTCAGTTCTGGACTACTTATCAAGTAAGAAGGTACATTTTGCATCTTTAAAACTCTAAATTTAATTCCTGTCTCCCTGTCTTGCTCTTACTGAAATTTAAATTTGTCAGAGGCATCACTACACTTGATCCAGAGAAGCTCCTCACAGATTTGGGGGTCATGCTGGTGGTACTAGCCAGGTACATCCTAGAGGCAGTACACAAAAGCAGCCAAACCAGGAAATAATCCAAGAACCCCAAACTTAGTGTCACAGCTGTTTTGTGAACTCTCTGTATCTCAGCTTGGTCTCCTGTTACTGCTGCCAAGCTGTATCCTCTCGTGTTTCCTCCCCACAGTGCTGACTGGTCTATTGAAGCTTTGCTCTGCAAATGGAAACTAAAGAACAGCCACGTTCCCTTACACTCCTTTGGAGCAGACAAGGAGCACTTGGCCAGCTCTCCTCTACCCGGGAGACACACCATTGAAATGATGATCATCTCACTAGCACAACCAGATGGTACTTAAGTTTATTCCACTTGTTGGTTCCAATACAAGATGACACTGAACTGTTCACTGTCATAGGGATCTGCAGAAAACAGTCCTGTTTACAGCAAACCCCACATGTAGTTGTTGGGAAGCAGATTTCCTTCACAGCAATTCTTAAAACATGCACTGTAAAAATAAAGCTATGTTGTTCAGCTATGTCTTCTTGAGAACTTTGTGTTCCTCCCCAAAGACCATGTCAAGAGTTCAAAGACTCAAATCTGCTATGTGAGCCACTACAGAACAACTTAACACCACACAGGATCCAACTTGAATTCACAACATGAGCTATGAAGAAAAGTTAACTGCATTCTTTGAAGGTAAAAAATTAACCCCAAGATTTGTTTCCCAGGACTGACACTCTTTCCCAAGGATTTACAAACAAAAACCAGCCTTTTTGTTTAACTAGCCCTACAGTCCCAGAACATACAAACTCCTCAAGTTTATAGAAAAGTACTTTTAATCCTCAAGCAAGCCAGATTTTGAGTATTCAGATGTTTCCATTCCCATTCAACATACATGCATAAAAGTTCACAAGGCATTACAATAACCCTTGACACTTGATGGCTGAAGTTACAATTCATTTGGTATCCATATCAAGAAAAATAAAGAGAAATTATCACTGTAAGATGAGCTACCACCAAGCAACAACCTGTTGAGTCAGGACAAGCACACAGCAAAGGCAATTAGTACTGCTCAGTGTGTATCTTCTGTAACAATGTCCAAGGGACCTGTCAGATGATGCATTTTCTAGCCTGCTGTGCAACACTTGTCATATAACATCTGGGTTAGTCACAACACTAGTTAAGTTTGCCCATAGTAGTTTAAAAGCAACCCCAGTGGATAAAATTGATAAGCAGTAAAATGCATTCAGTTACCATATAGAAGTTAAACATTGACAGTATAATTGCAGAAATCTTTTCAAGCTAAAAAGAAGCTGACTCAGACATTAAGTTGAGAAAAGTTAACACAGAAAAATGTTTAATATTAACTACAGAGACAGTGGGTATAGTACAGAATGTCTTAAGCAAAAGATACACCAATCAGTACTTACAAAGGAATGAACCATTTTCTTAACATGACATTTTTTTGTATGTAAGTTCATATAATGTAGGTTGGTAAGTTTTTACCATTCTGGAAAAAATAAAGGTGTGTATATCATCAGCTAGATGTGCTCACTGTATGCTCCATTATTTTTACGCAAGGCCCGGGTGACTGGAAGTGCAGTTGTCAGGCATTTTAATTAACTGGACAGCCATTTGTGTCTGCACGACAAGGCATCTTTACACAGGAGCAATCAGGAGAAAACAGGAAACAGCCAAGCACTCTGCACTGCAACACGCCACCTTAACAGCTAACCAGCATTACTCAACTGCTACACAACTGCGCCTAGTGCACAAAAATACATAAGAGAAGAGATTAGAATTGAGTCTGAGAAAACAATCCTTTCAAACATCAACTGTTCACCTGAAAAGATTTCTACCCATTTTGAATTTGAAGATACTATTTGAATTCAAACAAACCAACAGCATTTCCAGTAAAGTTTCGAATTGAAGTTCTGCAGGATTTTATTTAAGGAATGAAGACAAAATTGAGGGCTTTTTGACAGTTAGCTACTCAGCATATAATGGCTGCATTGTTTCCTCAGTATGAAACTGGAGGCAGCAAGTTATCATCGGTTTTAATTTCAAATCAAAGTCAGCACTAAATAAACAAAAATGAAGTTTTACCTCAATTATCCAAGCCAATAATGAAATCGGTAGTCGTTCACTTCACTAAATTACAAGAAATTTGAATAACAGCAACAAAATGGCACATAAAATGTAAAATCTGCCACTTGAGGCGCAACTTAAACAAGTAAAAAGTTAGACAAAATGTTACAAAATAACCTTTTCAAGAGCTGGTTGCTCGTGCCAGGGTCTCTCCAAGGGACTGAAGACTCAAGCGATGCCCCCAAAGGCGTCCTTTGTGTGGATTCTCCTGAATCTGATGCATCTAGGTTTGAAGAAAGACAAGTTCAGCCAGGTTTCTAACCCTGCCTTCTCTTGGTTCTGTGGATGACTTCAGGTAATACTTCTATAGTTGTGTTTCAACTGGCTTTGCCTAATTTAATTTAAGGAATTTTCATAGTGCTCCACCTCCCCCCCCACGTGTTGCTTGACTTCAGAGGCCAAATGTAAAGGTTCTGGCCAAGTATTTAGTTACAAAGATGAACAAGCATCAGGCTGTAGATCAAACCACCATTAACTTCAATTCAGCCTGTTCAACAATACATTATTCCAAGTTATATCAAAGTTACAAAACTAGTATTTCTTCATAAAGACTTAACTAAACTCTTAATTAGCAATCAAAACAATGTGACTAATTTTGCTACAATTATCTAACTCCAGAGCTACCTTAGGCCCTTTCCTTTTTTTTAAAAAAAAAACAGGACCAAACAGTTTGAAGGGTTAAAGACACACTATCCTTTCCCCACCCGGTGTTATCCTTAAGATGCCTCTTCAAGATGTCGAGGAAAAAACTAGTTTCCATGGTTTTCTGGTTGCAAGGAATTTGCCACTTTTCTAGAACAGTCATTTACCTCCAGTCAGTTTAACGGCCACTGAACCGATCTTCTGTTACAAAAGGATAGTGTATCTTTAACATTTAAAGACAAACCTGCTCCAACACACGCCCACAGAAACTGGTCCCTGGAGGATCAGCCAAATCAGTTAAAATCTGCAATACTGGCCAATATTCTTTTAGCAAACAGGAGACCGCAGCTTTAAAGGGGAAAATGCAGATGTTGGATAAATACAGTAAGAAATAATCATTTTCATCATAGGTTGCGTCTCATACAATATTTTTATTTAAAAACCAAGGCATTAATCTCTCAATAAAACATTTGCTCTGTAAAAAAAAAACACAACAAAAAGTTCTCCGTAGAAAGCCCTTTGGTATTAATTTCCCTAAACCAAGAACTAAAAAGCACTGCTCAAGAAAAATAAACCACAACAAAAAAAAAACAACACACCACTAACCATGTGCCCCGTTAGGATTCACTTGGTTCTTAACACTAACAACTACCCAACATCCCACCTAAGTGCTAGAATAAAGTAACATGCAATGTGTGCTGGTCCCGACGTACATTACCATGTTCCTAGGAGGATACAGCTCCTTCTTCTTCCGGAGACTTGGGAGGGCTCTTAGACCTTGACCTAGAGTTGGATTCCCTCTTTGAGGCAGGGGGAGGGCTTCTAGATCTAGACCGGGATCTTGACCTGGACCGGGATCTGGAGACAGACGATGACTTTGACTTTGATCTCCTGGCTGATCTGGACTTGGACGTGGAACGAGACCGAGAGCGTGTGCGAGACCGGGATTTGGATCGACTGTAGCGGGACCGACTGCGGGATCTAGAGCGGCTCCTGCTTCTAGACCGGCTGCGACGGCGTCTTCTAGGTTGAAGGCAGGCGGCGCAACATTGCTCAGGCTGCTCCGGGACAGGGAGGGCGGAACTGGACCCACGTGGGCAAGAAAATGAGCGTTCAGAGGGCGCCATTGTTCAGAGTGAGTGGCCGGGGGCTAAAAACTACTACAGGACCAAACTGTTCCGCTCCGAGGGAGCTCCACGTGCTGCTCAACCCCTACCTCCCCC